GGTCCCACCCCTGTGTTTCTATCGCCCCGCTCTGGAGGGACGATTGAAACAAAGAACAACTCCCGTTCAAAGTCAATTTTTACTTAAATCCTTCTATATTTCTACCGAATAACACATGCTACTAAGAGAACACAAATGTGAGTTGTTGATCACACACACAAAAAAAATCTATCTGTAACCTTATCTTAGAAAACTACGTTTATCTGAAAAGTGTTTCAACCGTCCCGGCTCTCCCCTATCTCTCTCTCTCTCTCTCTCTCTCTCTCTCTCTCTCTATATATATATATATATATATATATATATATATATATATATATATATAAACATTTATAAAAAATAAAAGGTTACACTTTATTTGAAGGTGTCATTCTCTAAAAAAAAATGCCGGATTGTTTCAACCCAACTTTGGGTCAAATATGGACAAACCCAGCCATTGGGTTAAATTTTCAAATTACATTTTTAACCCAACATTTGGGTTTGTCCATATCTGATCCAAAATTGGGTTGAAACAACCCAGCATTTTTTAGAGTGTTGTTACAGGGTAATTATGTGTTTAAGTACTGAGTAATATTAAGTAACTACATGTACTTACTATAGGGTAAGGGTAGGATTAGGATTTGGTTGAGGGTTAGTTGCATGTAATTATGCATAATTTACTGTTATTACTATGTTAAGTACATGTAACATATGTAACAAGGACACTGTAAAATAAACTGTTACCAAATAAAAATTTTAAAACGGACTCATGACTGAACAGCTCGATTGATAGAATAATAGTACATCACTTTTTATCCTCTGAAGTAGTTCCTCCAGTCCATTTTCTTGTTTTTCATTAATAAGCTCTTTATATGGTTTCTGCGTCCAGTCCAAGCAAACTGCATGGTGTGTTTTGAAGAGCTTCTTACTGGAAATTAGCATTAAAAGAGAAAAGACAAACCATGTGTCATAAATAACGTATGAGTAAATATACAACTGAAACAAAGAAATTGATATAGGATTGTAAGTTTAAATGCATTTAATTTCAGGGTGGTATATCTGACTGACATTGGCTGACAGAATAAGCGTTAAATCCCTTCAGTGTAATATTGTTGCAAAGAGAGCTTTCTTATCTTTTAACAGGTAATGATGGATAAACTTTGTGTTTGAAAAGCTCATTTGATGTTTTTATAACTGGTTTTCACCCTTGTGAAGGTGGGGGGAAATATATTGTGGAGTTCAGAGCCTTGGAAAGATCTTTTTGTGTTTTTAGCAGCTTTCATTCCCTTCATTCACTCATATCTCAACATTCTTACTATTGAAATGAATGGCTATATATATACAGTATATATATATATATATATATATATAAACATTTATAAAAAATAAAAGGTTACACTTTATTTGAAGGTGTCATTCTCTAAAAAAAATGCCGGATTGTTTCAACCCAACTTTGGGTCAAATATGGACAAACCCAGCCCAAACCCAGTGAAAATCCGGCATGGTCATGAAAAGACTTTTCCCCATTTCTACGAAACTCTCATACTTTATCAGACATCAGGGTACAGATGTGAACTAGATTACCACACACTCCCCCTAATATTCTTCTCCTGCACTCTCTCTCTCTCTCTCTCTCTCCCTCCCTCACTCTCCTGACCACAAAAGAAAGAAATCATTGAGTTTCACCCTTTTTATAAACACACCCTCCCCTTCCAGTAGACTCCAAATAGGGGCACAGACTTTCAGGTTCCCAAACTTTGTTGGAAGAAGTGAAAAGAGGTTTAAGGCAGGCTGGTTATGTGCTCCACTTCTCTGCCTTTAAATGGCAAAGTAAAGAATGGAGCTTTGAACATTTGACCAGACACATGGCTCTAACTTGTGACATGGCAGAAGATTCTGGTGAGTTCTGTCAGTTTTTGGCTTTGTGAATTTGATTTTATTCATGTTTCTACCTCGATAAACAAGACATGTCTTGATGAATATGGCAGAGCTAGTTTATGCATTTTTTTCTGCATTCATGGTCTAAAAAAATCGAAACTGACCACTGATTGACTGCATGAATCATTGCTTTAGTGATTTGTGTAATATATCCAGTTTTAAATATATCCTGTTACTCTTTTTTTGTGTGCGTTTACTTTTTTGCTTTCGGCTCACGTGATGAGTTTTTATGGGTAATTACAAAAAATCTCTTTCATTTCATAAGATAGCATTATGCCAAAAACTGTAAAAGCAACTTTGTACTTTCCATTCAAAGAGACTTGTGGCTTATTTGCATTGCATATTCTTCCAATATTGCAATTTTGCAAATGTTTCATCTGCTCTGATGGATGAGTTTCAGCACAAAGGTAAACATGAAAACTTCCAGACACTTGGCATTAATACTGAAGGTTAATTGTGCCCTTTTTATTTGGACTGAGCATTAGACTTTGTTATCATTAAAAAGATGCTGCATTTCCTCTGCTTTGAACTGGTTTGGCATTCATTTTTGGAATGAAACAATGCTACTAAAGATTCCTGAAGGAAACATAAAGGTTAAAAAAGTGCTGTTTAAATGGGCTTTTATTGTTCCAATAGTATCATTTTTAAGTGTCTAAAATGTTTAATTGTTTTCTCCGTTGTAAAAAATTACAAGCTCTGGATTGGCAGTGCCTCTCTGGGCAGTTGTGTGGGATAAAAATGGAGCTGCTAATCAAATCAAGGCATTTGTGCCATTGTTGATTCACATTGTTGATCAGTATCTAAAAATGATGTCTGCACGTGACTGCATTTGGTTTACAAAGAATATGCATCATTCTAAGATATGAAAAACAGTTTTAATATTTCTCATCTCAATACATTTTACACATTAAGACTTAAATTAAAAAAATCCTGCAAAAAATGTCAGTGAGAGGCACAGATGCTCTTGATGATACTCGTTTACTAAAAGAGCTTGATAAACACTGTGTATCAAGCTGTTTGTCTTTGTTTATTTTAAATGTTAAAAAAAAGAGATGCAAACAGATTTGATAGGATTGGTAACCAATGACTTTTAAAAATCCGAATGCAGCAGAACCTGATTTCACCAACATCTTTGTTGATCCTGGAACAACATTCCAATCAAACAAATAGGATTTGAGGGACAAGTTTACAGTTTATATTAAATTTAGGCTTACAACCAGGGTTAGGTGCTTCTACATTTGTGTTAATCACCTATCATTTCCCTCTGATTTTAGGAATAACTTATGGATTGGGGTTGGGATATGGTTAAGATTAAATTAGGGTTTGGGTTTACCCAGGAACGCGTCTAACTCTGCAAAATCAGGACGTGCTCCGAATGCAACACCAGAGGTCAAGCCTTTGAAAAAGACGACAGCAGATTTGATATTCTACACCAATGCAATATATATATTCATACGTCCATGCACAGGAATATTTTTTCTGAACTTTGCTATACCGCAGAAGCCAAAGTGCTCACTTTATGGAAAATAGCTGCTTTTTACCCATGAAGACAGAAATTGCATTTCACATGTTTCCAGATGTTGAGAGGAGTGTTGGGACTCCCTGGAGTAGACAGGACACTGAAATAAATTGTGTATGTGTGTGTTCAGTTCAGTCACATCAGGAGACATGAGGGATGAGGTGAACATCAGAAAGCAGGAGCTATAATAACTTCACTGCATTTTTGCTGCGAAAATAACTAAACAAAGCTTTACTTAAGATGCAAAATTGATAAGACTTGTTTTCAGAGAACATAGCCCATATATATATATATATATATATATTAGTTTTTTTAACACAACCCTCTCTAAATTTAATATATGTTCTTTGTAAGTTTAAATCTGCAGTTTTGCTTATTTTCGTGAGAATTTGCTTTAAATACTCACAAAAACAACAGTCAACATTTTTTTTTTTTTTAACTTTTTTAGATTATGAAACCATTGTAAAAACGTTTTGGTGACAGTGGCGGCCACTGTCCACTACACACTGTAGAATATGAAAAGGAAAGAGTGTCAGTATTAACAAGAGCCTATGTGAGATTGTATTATCTAAAATGGGACTTTTTTTTTGAAAGAGTGAAGAATGAGAGAGAGTGAGAGCAGTAGAGCACTCATCCTTGTACATGCAAGACTAAACAAACAGCCTCCCTTTCTCAGAGGGTCATGTGCTACACCTCAGGGCCCTCACATAAATGAATGTGCTCACTACACACACCAGCAGGAAGCCCCCCACCACATGCTCCGGAAAACCCTGTAAAAGTGACTGGTTGATTTAACTTTTACAGTACAGTTGGCAGACAGTGTAGTTTCACAAATAAAGAAACTTCTTTCATCCCCTGACCTCTAAATGATCTGTCTCATTTTAACCTAAGTTACAGGAAATTATTGGAAGATGTGTGTATTTTTCTTTTTAGTCAGTTCTATAATATAATATAATACCCATTTTTTTGCACACAAACATACTGTTTATTCATTAATATTGTTATTCAGCAAGGAATTTGTTAAATTAATTAAAAGTGACAATCAAGACTTTTAGATTGTTACAAAATATTTTTTGTTTGAAAAAATGCAGTTCTTTTGAACTTTCTATTCATCCAAAAATCCTGAAAAAGAAAAGTATCACAGTTTTTAAAATGCAAAAACCAGCATATTAGATTGATTTCTGAAGGATCATGTGACACTGAAGACTGGAGCAATGATGCTGAAAATTCAGCTTATCCATCGCAGGAACAATTGACTTGTTAAAATATATAAAAATAGAAAAGTTTTTTTTTTTTTACAATATTACTGTTTTACTGTACGCAATCAAATAAATCCAGCCTTAGCGAGCATAAGAGACTTCTTTATAAAAACGTTAAAACAACTTATAGACTCAAAACTTCTGAAGAGTATTGTATATTTTCACTTGAGGAGACTTAAGAATCAGACTTGGATTTGAGCTTCTGTTTATTTCTTCACAGATGAGGTCAGAGCTTTAGAGCAGGCGTGATTGTGTGGAAAAGCTTTGAGAGGGTCAACAGGGGACCTCACATTTAGCCTGGGTTCTCATAGCCTGGGTTCTCATCCATCACTCACTCATCAAGTCCCAGGTCATAGAGGTTATTCCGGGACTCTTCTGGGTCATGATGAGGCTGCACTCAACACTGAGCACTTGGCTTTTCACACTCCTAGTGATGCCAGTCTACTGCCAGAGTGGTGATGATGGAGAGTTGGGATCAGGTGACGTCTCCGGGCCTGTGGTCACTGGCAACTCCTCTGCTCCAATCTTCCATGCAGCCGGGGATGAGCCAGACAGAACCAGGCCACTTTTTCAAACCCTGCCAGAGACGGAAGGCGGCGACTGTTATGTCCACTTCCACACCGGCCAAGTCATGACAAGACGGTTACGAGCTTTCAGAGAGGAAGTTGCTTATCTAAAGGCTCTTCAACATGGGAACCAGGCGGTGATGGAGAATCTGGTCCAGTTTGTTGGAGCAGAAATGGGAGATCAACGCTACGAGGAGGTGATCCAAGAAAACATTGTTGGAATCAGGGAGGATCATGTGAGCTGTGAGAGCGTGGTGACAAAAGCAGCAGAGGAGATGGAGAGTCAGCTGGAGGGAGACGCACTAGACACTTCGGCTGGAATTCAAAAGTAAGATGAGTTGAATCCTAATAAGACAGTCATATCCTCTTATCTTCCAGGCAAAACTCCAAGGCTTTTAAAAATGTAAGATGCTTAAAGGCAACAAACCTGAATCGGGGGAATATTTAATAATACGTGGGAGAGAAATTTTTGAGTTAAAATTATGTGATTTGGTTCTCACAGATAAGAAATGGTGATGGAAGATCAGAGGCCATTATTTTATTATTGTATTTTAGGAATTCTTTTATTTAAATTGTATGGATGCACCCGTATTAAAATGGTCAATATGAAAGTCTCTAAACTAATTTGTCTGATACTGTCTACAGAAAACATTCTAATATGCTTATTTGCTGCTCAAGAAACATTTCATATTATTATCAATGCTGAAAATTTTAGACCACTCACTAAATATTGCAGCTTAAAGTAACACCAGGGAACTTTTGCTCTCGGGGTGGGGTCCCCCTACAGTTGGGAAACAGTATTGTCCTCTAGACCTCTACTACTGTCGTAAACTACTGTCGTCATCCTACATGCACGTGCAATTGTTGACAACCATGATAGCCCTGAACACTGTAGGAGGAGGTCACATGCAGGTGTTCTGCTTGCGTCTTGTCTGAAATGTCTTCATCCCAGGTACAGTGGCATATATTTCAGCATGTCATATGAATATAATTTCATGGGTTTTATTTTTTTCTAACGACAAATGATCGCGATGATCACGTTTACAAGCCAGCGTCATTATAGTAGCCTAGTCTATTGGTTACCGTTTTACTGGATCTATATGATACTTCAATGCAATGTTTGAGTGGTAGATAATAACCATATATCGTCAATATTATAATATCAAGCTACCATAAATGAATCTGCAAATTTTACAAATCGATTTGCATTATAGCTTGAGGCAAGACAAATATCACAGACATGTTAGGTATCCTAAATATGATTTTGTACATCTTATATATTTACTTGCAAGAATGTAGCCCCTACCAAACTTGTGCACGCCGTTTAGACACAGGCTTTCATTTGATTTTTTTTTTTTTTTTTGCCAAGTCCGCATCGGTCGGGCACCCCTCCTCCTCCTTCAGCTCACGCCAGTGAGAAAATGCTGGCCCAATGTTGATCCTCGTTCTGCCTTTAATGCGATCACTTTCTCTTTTTCTCTTTTTGCTTTGCTCCGATAAAACCTTTGCTTTCTTGTTTTTCTGTGCTGCTTCGGCCATGACTATAACATTTGGCTCGCACGTCCGATTTTAAGGAAGTGGGGGTGGTGGTGGAAGTGACGTATAAGCCGTAAAGCAGTCGAATTTTGTAGTTCTCTTTGTTCGCCGGTTACTACCCGAAACCCGAAGTTTAAAAGTACGATTAAAAACGCTACAGACCCCGTCAGGCTATGGCAGACGTGTCATTCAACCTATTGTAAGTCGATGTACCATCACAAGAGACTTGGAAATATATTATGAAGGTTGAAAAGTTACCTGGTGTTACTTTAAGAGTCAAGTTGCATTGACTGCATGCATCTACATAAACACTTTCCAGGCAAAATATAGTAAATACGTAACCAAGTAAAACTGTTAAAAAGATCCTAAACAAGAAATATATGCTTATAAACACAGTGAAGATTTGCATATAATGTCTCTAGCCTCAGACTATAGCCACAACGATGCTGCTTTGATTCTGGTCTCTGGGTTTTCCATCACCAGCCTGGACAGTTGGAAGGAATGCGAATTTCAGCCCCTCAGAGGCCCCTGGTTTAAGAAAAACTAAACTGAGGCCCTGAGGAGGCCCCTGTTCATTTCCTCCTCCATCCCTCTCTCTCTCTCTCTCTCTCTCTCTCTCTCTCTCTCTCTCTCTCTCTCTCTGTCTGTCTTGGATTATTTCTGATGTTGTGTCTGCTTTATGTCTTTATCTAAGAATAAAAGAGGAGTCCCTTGCCTTTGAAGAAATGCTGCGTACCGCGTCAGACATCGCCACTCGACTGGAGAGTTCTTCAAGAGCCCTGCATGTGGAGATGATCGCACAGCTGAGGAAGAACATGAGACAGCCACGCTAAACTAAATGACTCGGTGGGAAGCCGTCCAACCTGGAAAAATAGATAAAGTGTCACTTCTGTATTTATCCATATGTTTTAATAACAGTGATACAATGTCATCACTTTAAACAGTCTATATATGTTATCTCCCATCCTTACATAGTTTTTTTTGTGAGACAGAATTATTGTCAGAGGACTGAAACACAAACTATATTTTTCCTCTCTTGTCCAATGTTCATTTGTGAGCCATAATGAAAACATAATGGCTCTGTGTACAAGGAAATTGAAAAAATGATCTTGGCAGTGTGGTGACATCTTAAAAGAATATTCTCTTTCCGAGTACAGACAACCCCGCAGCTATGGTCTGGCTGTCTTGGCGCTAGGGAGCAGATGGTGAAAAGACTGTATGAGGGTCTGGAAATCAACAAGCATGAACTCATATACATTGGAAAGCGAAAGCAAGGCGGAGAAAGAAAAAGAGGAAAAAATATTAAAGTGATGTCACTGAGGAATAAATGAAAACAGAACAGAACCTAAAGAAACAGATGAAGAAAGAGTATGAAATCTTTGCGACCAAAGAATGTTCATTTTCAGTGTATTAGTCAGTTGTTGTCAGTTTTGCTGTATGCATAGTTTGACCCAATTCTGAGTGTATGCTAGTATTTGTATGGTCATAGATACAGCCTGTGTGAGTGAATGAATTACAGGGACATGAAATATATAAATAGCTATTACTATATTGAGCGTTTTATACTTAAATAAATACTATTGATGCTAGTCAGTCTTGATGTGCCATTGTTGAAAATGATATTCACAAAAATTCAACTTTGTAAAAGAATAGCAGGGTTCCTACAGTCATGTACTGTAAAACTGTTTAAAAAAATGAAAAGGTCATGGAAACTTCTATAGTCAATATAGATGTTTCAAGTAATTCCTCAACTATAAATGGCTCTTTGTGTGTGTAAACTCTTTAATTGGATTAAGAATAAAATCCAGATATCACAAATGACAGTAAAAGTCACTGAAAAGTCAATCGGCTTTTTAAAGCTCCAGCCGTAACTTTTTTGGGTTAAAAATTATCCAAAATAATTTTTTGAGAAAATATATAACCAGCCAGTGTTCAACACTATCTGCTTGCCGTAGCTTGATTCAAAGCGGTAAGCTTGTAATAATGTTTTTAATTCCAGTGGTACTGGTGGATTTCAGCGGGAGATTCGAGCATGTCTTTGCGTCATTACGTCACATCTGTACACATAAAGAAGAGTCTCGGCTAGTAGGCTATATTGCGTGTGAGGATCCTGGAGGTGGAGATTTATAGCCTTTTCTCACAGCACTTGATATAATTAAACTTATTAATTTAATGGCGGATCCAGAAAGGTTCAAACGACAATCACCAGTGACAACTAGAGATTCACCTGTTGTAAAATGCAAAAGACTTTGGACTGAGAGTTTGGAAAAAGAGACTGCAACCAGCCCATGCGAAAACAAGGATAAATATCGGAAGGGCATTAAATGTAGTCACGCAATGCTGATGTTGTTAACATTAACAATTTGAGAACAAACTATAATTTGCACGGTTTGACCTTTGACGTGATATGATAAGCGATCGTTAGATTTAACCAGCGCGATTTCCTGCTGGATTTTACTTACTTGTACAGATGTCATTTTAGGGTGAAAATTATTATGTTGGTCATAGTTCCAAAGAGTAGAATCTGTGATTCTTAAAGCCAGTATTTGGTGATTGACAGCTGCACATCCCTGCAGTGCAATGCCGAGGTACAACTCACGTAAAGTTGATAATTCCGCGAATGACTGCAATTGCAGATTTCAAACAGAGATGGCGACAAAGAGGAAAAACTGCGGACTGCATAATATTCTTAATAACTAGGCTAAATTTATTTATAACATTTTCTAACACACTTCTCCATGATATGACCATGTTTATCTTATTTTCATTTTAAATAATCCCCTTAATTAAACATTTCAATACAGAACCCACCTCAGATTGCTTTTAATCAATGCAGAAAATCATAAAAACAGATTAACACGATCTGTTCCTAAATTATGATTCAGGTTTGGGCTTAGCCCACCCCTGCCCATGCCTAGAACCGACCCTGATCGGCTTGCAACTCACAATACAGAATTGTAACAATTGGGCTGCTTTTATTAACAAAATGTAAAAATGACATATTACTGCCTACTTGAATGTCTAAAATATATTTATGTATAGGCTATAAATAAAAATGAAGTATAAATCTAAACAATTCTGTCATTAATTAGGCTACTCACCCTCATGTCATTCCAAACCCATAAGCCTTTCGTTCATCTTCGGAACACTAATTAAGATCTTTTTTTCTGAGTTCTGTGCTTCCATGGACAGCTAGGCTAACTGCCACTTTGATGCTTCAAAAGGTTCAAAAATATATCATAAAAACTAATCCATATGAATTGAGCGGTTTAGTCCAAATTTTCTGAAGAGACTCAATCGCTTTATATTAACATATTCAACCGAACCTGCTTGACACGCGAGAACAAACCTCTTGGAAGCTCAAACGAGAATGAATCTCATTGGTTGATGCTTTCCTTACCACAACTGTTTAGGCTATATGTGAATAAAAGCCTAAATTCAGCCTGTTCATCATTAAGCGATCGTGCCTCTTCAGAAAATGTTGGACTAGCAAACCGCTCAATTAATATGGATTAGTTTTACGACCTTTTTATGAACTTTTTGAATTTTTAAAGTGTCAGTTCCATAGCTGTCAATCAACGGAGGGACAGAAAGCTCTCAGATTTCATAAAAAAAAATCTCCATTTGTGTTCCAAAGATGAACGAAAGTCTTACGGGTTTGGATTTGGAACAACACGAGGGTGAGTAGAAAGAAAGATTTTTTTTTCTTCATTTTTGGATGAACTAGTCCTATTGTCATGGCAATGTTCCGTTCTGTTTGCTTTTATTTTGACATTCATTTTCGTTATTTGACTATTATCATTCCTGGTATCTCCTACTTAGACCTATTCCTGTTGCATTTTACCCTAAAAAAGACTGTTTTGTTGGATATTCCCTCGTCTTCGTGCGTGACAATAGGCTATTCCTCTATCCATAATCGGTTCACATAATCTTTCAGTATTCCAGTCGAGTCCTGTGTGTTTAATCAGCATAAATGGTATTATGAATAGATTCTAATGGAGTCTCTGTCTCTTGGAAAAAAAAAGAAAAGAAAAGAAAACTGCGTGTCTTGCACCGAATTCTGCCTGAGTTCTCGCCTTTCTTCAGCATTTATTCAGCTACCCTGACCTCTAGCGGTCATAAGATGTAATAACATTTGAATCACTTAAAATTCAATAGGTTTGGCCAGAGCCGTTGAGGTTTGGCCCAGAAATATCCCCCTCCCCCCTCAGGTTTGTTATACGCGTTCGCGCACTTAGGCTATCCGTTAAATGTGTGTTCATTATACTGTTTATATAAGAAAGAAATGACCTTTAGATTAGTTGCTAATTGATTTTGAAATCGGGTCACGCTCGTGAACTTGTGATGAGGTCCCTCCCTCCCTTTCTGCCTGACATGAAAGTGGATGGGCGGACTGAGAGAGGGATGCTCAGTCTGGAGTAAACCCTGGAAACAGCAGGAGCCAGGTCATGAGTGCATCTATGCATTTTTTTGACACAGATGGAGTTACTCTGGGATATATCTGCTTCTAAAAATCCTTATTTTGGGATGCATATGGAAATAAATAATACTTTTGCAGCACGGAATCTGTGTACCTGATCTTCAGCTGAACAGGTGCGCAAAACTTAATCTTATCATCGTGCCTTTTCACGTAGAAGAGCAGGAAACTTCGAGTTTGGAGAAATATGGATAAACACGGGATTTATGCAACTTAAATCGAAACACATTTATGACAAACGCCAATTCTGCCAGCATTTAAAATAGATAAAAAAAAAAAAAAATTGTGTGAGAGGAGATCATCTCACCCTAAATAGCCTACAACCACCAGCCCCAGATGTAGAATGAGAATGACAACACAACAGAAAACACAGAAGCCATGAGAAAAACTGAATTATACGGAAACTGTCGCGTGGAATTGGCTGTATGATGGAGCGCTTTGAGAAGCCGCGGTTCTTCCTGCGGATTACTCTTCTCTTCACTATCCTATGTGAGTCAAGTAAGTTTCACTTCTGTTTTTGTTTCGTTTTTTCTCACATTTTTCCACAAATATAGCTATTGTTTAAGAAATGGAGAGACTCGTGGAACTGGTCATTAACTGTCCAAACTGCTTTTGGCAGGTCAAACAGTTGGCATGCGCCCAAAACACTGGTCAGTAGCTCTTTGTTGCTGGTCTAAGTTGGTCCGCTAGCCACCCAGGACCAGAAACAAAAAAGTTCATCTTAAGATACATTTTCTATAAAGTTTATATTTGTTTGCTTTATGTGTGTTTTAGGCATTACTAACGTGCATTGGTGACTGATCAATTTGCTTTCTCTGCTGCTTTTTTAAGCTGTTTTTGGTGGTTAAACCAAGACCAGCAAATCATCGAGGGGTATACGAAAGGGTACAGTGTAGCTATTTGACTCCCACATCCACATTCAGAGCATAGCTGTCAACCCTCCCGTTTTTTCCGGGTTTCTCACGTATTTTAGCTCTTTTCCCGCTGTCTTCCCGTTTTATTATTTTCCCGTAAAATATCCCGTATTTTTACGCTCTGATTGTGTGAGACGTACATGCTCGGGCAGATTCGGCTTGAAGTCGTTCATCCTCGGATGCGGCGCCGCGCGCGCTGTTACAAAAAAAGCTGTGCACACAGCCAAGCGAAATGGGGTCTTGCCGGTCTTGCGCACCCAACGCGTAATCTTTGCCGCGTTTGTGCGGACGCGTCAAGTATAAACAATTCCGTGTCAGCGCGCGCTTTGATCGGTAAAGGAGCACAGACCTCTCCCTAATCATCTCCAGCAGCCCCCGAAGCACCACGTACCGTTTCCCTCGTAAGCTGATATTAGTATTTAAACATTCTCTGATAAAAAATGTTTAAAAAATGACACACTTTCTCTAATACACACACACACTGTCTCTTTCTCTCTCACTCATTTGTAGTTATAAACTCTTTAGACTTTTAATGATTAGTGCTTTATTTTTAAAGTTTGTGGTGGGTAAGAATCGTGTAAAAAAATTCCCTTATTTTGGGGATGGATTCCGGGAAATCTCCCTTATATTCAATGTTCAATGTTGACAGCTATGATTCAGAGATGTGTAGTATATGCATTAGAATGGCACGCACGGCTGCCAGTAAAATTAAACGTCCTCTCCACGGCCAAGTGTGCATGTCGCTTAAATCAAGGCAGATTTATTGGGCTTGCTCATCACTCTACGTTTACGCTCGCACTCTTCATTTATGTGTCCGCTCGCTGTCAGCAGCCGCTGGACGCCTGATGAATGAATATCACTGCGGGCCTCTGACACTAACCTGACTCCGCCAGATGGATTTGCTCCGCATATCCATCTGGAAACCTTCCGTTGAAGTAGTTTTGGTAAGGGGCGAAAATACTGGTTAGCTGATTGGCCTATGTTGGTGATAGACGGGCCAAATCAACCAATCAGATCAACGAAGCATATGACGTACTAACAGAGCGTATCTTTTCCTCTGAGAAAAGCCTCCAGAGCAGTGTTTTGCTCTTCTTTCAGTGAAGAAATACTCTGTAATTCCGATAAAACTTGCTCGATAGCCACGCTGATGCTAGTTTCATCCGCTGAAGCCGACATGTTCTTTAGACTGAACTGACGCGCTTCTCGTTGCGTCACACCTCAACCCGCCTCAAAGCCAACGCTGATTGGACGTTCGTTTGGTGAACTGCTCCCAAATTTTCTTTAACGGAAAGTATCCAGACTGATCTGCGAGTGAAACCTTGAAAGCTCGCGAGATCAGGATGGTCTCACGAGGCTACTCTGACACCTCCCGAGCGCTCGAACTGCAGCTGGATGCACTTTACCACCGCTCTTTGCATCGGGTTGGCTTAAGAACATCCCGCGCTTTGGAGAGTTTCCAGAGTTGAACGGAGATACACGTTGCCAATCAATTTCAGGTCCGACGCTTTGATCTAGCTAGCCTATAGTAGACCGTATCGAACCCGTCCACCTGCTGTGCTCCTCACACACTCACAGACTGGAGAACAGATGCGCTATTGGAGAGGCTGCAGAACTGACGCAGGCGTCACCATTCCAAACTGGAATTCTGATCGAGGCTAGGAAGCTGATGTTCATTTAAACACAAAATAAAGAAAATTACGGTAACCATAGTTTCTATAGTAGGCTTTTGTTACTTAAAAAAAGATCTCGTTGTGCTATAGCCTGCACACACAATTGTCTATTTAATTTTAATTAAAAATTTTAATTAATTAAGATTCAAAATTGTATTTCTCATTTTATTATAAAATTAAGACAATTAGAAGACAATTAGTGGAAACATTGTAAACATAAAATCAAGACGAGATTATAGAAATTATTGTAACAAGTGGACAAAAAGTTACGACAATCACTTAAAAAAATGCAGTGTAAAAGAATGATCTTACATCATTTTGTTTATTTTTATGACAATGGTGCACTGTAAAAAATGATCGTAACGGTAAAAGACTGTAAAAATGCTACAGTGCAAAACTGTTAATTGGTTAACAGAAAGTTTCCTTACTAAATACGGTAAATAACTGTGATAGATGTAATGGTACATTTAATGTAATTTTACTGTAAAATACCGTTAAATTTACAGTTTTTGAAAGTGAAAAGAACAACTCATTGTATAATTTACAGTGGAAAAACGTAAATTGACATCCCCACAATTCCCTGCATGACACTTCACATTTGATTTATTTTTGTTGAAATAACTGTTTCTTCTTAGTTTTCTTAGTTCTTTTCTAATCAGTTATGTACATTAGGATTTTATGTTACATTTAATGTTGTTAAATTAATGTTTATTGCATTCAGTTATGTACATTAGGATTTTATGTTACATTTAATGTTGTTAAATTACTGTTTATTGCATTTTTAAAATTTCATGTGTGTTACCATGATGGTGTTTAATGTTTGTGCGAATAACACTGTGTAGCTTCAATATAATAGTATTAACTTTCTTGTGGAAGATTGCTTGAGATGAGCTTTGATTGATCATGTGACTCATCACTGCGGTGATGATTGTTGGTTGTCAGTGTATTACAATGGTGCCAAACAGATATTAATACTTCAATAGATTGGTAAATTATCATTATATCAGATAATGAATTACGGTTTAATACTGTAAATTTTACGTTAAGACTGTAAAACCTAAACCGTTGATACCGTATTTTTGACGGTAAAGTTCTGGTAACCACAGCTGCCAGTTTTTTTCCGTAAAAACAACGGGATTTTTTTTACAGTGTGAGTAATACAAAGTTACCACAGTCTAGCTGTGCTTTATTTTAGTGGATATATGGTTTAAAAAAAATGGATATATGGTCTGCACATTTTTACCAATTAAACCATTTTGCCGGTTGGTTAATGAACACCTCCTTTATTTTAAGCTATAAATTAATCATTTGGGTTATATATTTAGATAGGCTGTTTTCTTCTAAAAATATAAAATTCCTGCCTCAGAGTAATAATAGATTTGAACCGCCTGGCCATGATATGCTTAAAAAAAGCAAGAAATGTGTCAGAGGTGAGAAAATATTTTCCTCCCCATCTGCAGGCCACTGACTGTATTCGTTGGCTGTGCTTGGGTTTCACATCATGTCCCACTGTGCTAATGCCCTGTTGTGCAGACCCTAAATCTGACTTGTTAATGGCATGTTGTCATTCGCCCAGAGTGTGACTCATTGTGCCAGCATGACCCATGGGAGCTCACTTCACCACACTGCAAATGAATGTGCTTAGAGAGCAACTCCAGCCACGCTACTGCACTCAAATAGCAGGCCTGACACATACTATCTGCAAACCCTGTCCTCAGGGTTCTGTGTTAATGCCTCCTCAGACCTCAGCTCAGAGATGAGACCGGAGGTGGCCGGCTTAATGGTGTCTACGCTCTGTCCTGCATTGGTGTCAACCAAAAGTGCAGAGATTACAGGGCATCTCTTCCTGGAAAATGAAGAGAATCAATCTCATTCAGTTAGCCACACTGGCCCACATATCATTAAAAACTGTTGGCTTTTTCACATATCAGGTGTTTGAAGCAATGTTCTTGAGATAGCTTTTTTTTCGTACTGTAGGTCTAAAGGAAAACTTAAATAGAACAGTAAAGAGTAATGGTTCTCAAGCAGCGTTTTCAGTGTACCAGGAAGCACTGCAACTTTTCACAGTTTGAATCACTCCGCTTGTCCGTGTTAGCACATTCCAGCAGCCTGTCACTCGTTTTTGCATTTAAACACGAGAGACTCATTGCAGTGAAATAAAAAAAGAGCTAGAATATATATATATATATACAGTATATATATATAAAAAAAATTTTTATCAAACTGTTTTTAAAACTACACTATGTTACTTTTATCACCATGTAATTTGGGCGGTTGCAAAAATAATACTGTATGACAAAAAGCAAATCCCGCCCTACATTTCTTCTTGTTTGAGAAGCCGTTTCACTTGGATATATACGTCACATAGGGAAGAAAAGACTCGCAACTTCCATTCCATGCTGACTTTAAATACAGGAGTGAATCCTCGAAATAATTGTTCTGTATGAATACGGAACACAACTCACTCCCGAAGGCACAATGATTGACACAGTGGTAACCATGGTGAATTCAAATTGACAACCGAATTTAGCAGCAGTGTGTAGGCCAGAAAAACAACAGAACAGCAGCACAGTAGACTGCAAAAATGAATTGTATTTCTGCAACATATTTGTATGATAGGCTATAGTAAGAGTAACTTAGTAGGTGATAAGAGTGTGAAATTTTGAATGGGTCGTTGAATCATTTACTCAACCAATTCCTTAAAACACACTGATTAATTCAGGAACGAAACACCTGCTGTGTTTTGTGTTGCTCAGAGACGTGCAGGGGTTCTTTGTTTGGAAGTATTTTCATTGTTGGATCAACAACAGACAAAGTAAGTAACTGGCAATATTGTTGCCTAAAATGTAAGTTACTCAATATTAACTTTTTATTGTTTAGGTAATATTACACTGACAAATCATGCTCTTTCCAGCTGGGATGACTTGCGGCACTTTGGAAGCACACAGCACTCTTGCTCGTGTGATATTGCTTAAGTTTAAGCGTGTGAAATAATTCGCCTGGAAACATTTTTGAGCAAATCCATTACTGCCAGTCGACGGATGAGAAGTGATGGTGCGTGTAATTATATATGATTAGAGAAATGAATGAGAGTTAATCCCCTGATGAAGCACTTTAATACTATATGTTTGACTTATTTAACATGCAAATAGTGGCGCACAGTAAACCCTAGATAAATTAAAAGACTCTCTGACTGTCCCATTAGTTCATTAAGTATTTAGAGTCTAGCTTGCTGAATTCACACTTGCTTAATGATTTTTCATGCCATTCTCAAATCTATAAGAAAACGTTCAAAACGCTGAGCGTGTGAAACTGCTTTAAAAGTTTAAATGTCTTTTCCACTGACAGTTTCTTGTTGTGAGAGGACTCACTCACATGCTGAAGATGATCTCTTCAAAAAGCTCTTTGATGGCTACAACAAGTGGTCAAGGCCTGTACCAAACACCTCTGATGTTGTCATCGTCAAGTTCGGTTTATCTATCGCCCAGCTGATTGATGTGGTAAGGTACTACAGGCTATATCTTGAAAAGAGGGAATACAAAGTATGTGTGGGTCAGTGGCACCCAAATTATCATGATTTCCACATGTTAACACCTGGAAATTCCTACTAATTATATTAACTGTACTAACTATGCTATATTATATAGGACTTACATACAGTTATAGTTAAACCTATATATGCTCATGTTCATAGAAATCTTATTATACTTTTGTAAGTAAACATACTATTTTTATGCTATTACTATAATACAACTAGTACTTTGTCAGATTGCAATTGAGATAAATTGAAGAAAAAACTGAGAAGACTTGTCCCTGTCCCTGTCATTAGTTTACACAACTTCAGACTTCCATTCATTTCAAACCTTTAAAAAATATATACAGTTAAAGTGCATCCTTGATCAATATTGGGGAACAACGGTTTGTTTTGGCCCAAGGCATTTAAAGCTTAGTGTATAATAACGATAAATAACTAAATGCCGGTTGTTATTTGTTTTGGTTACATATGTCATGAAATATTAATTTAATAGAGGAAGTGCAAGTAACACCAACACCAACTTCCTACAGTAAATTGCCATATTAAGAGCCCTAAAACCTTAGAATCTTGATGAATTCGCCTTTGGCTAAGCCACACCCTAGAATGTAGATTGACCAATCACAGCGCAGCCAAGAACGAGCTCCCACAGTGGTTCGTCCGACACTTTTTCACAGCGCTCCATTGACTTTAACACAGGCGTCTCATATTTTTGGTCTCGGCCGGCTATTACCGTCGTAGTTTTATCAAAAATATGGTTAAACGTTGTGCCTGGGGCATTTGTAACACAGATACGCGTTTCCCAGAGAGGTTGGAGGGGGGTGTCCGTTTTTTTCCCTTCCCAAACCGAAGTCAAATCCTGACAAGTGTCGTCTAGACTCTAGCACACGCTGCTAATAAATACAACGTTATACTCGCGTAGTCCGTTTGCTTTGTAATAACGATTATAGAAGTGAATAGAGACCTACCCAGCTTTGCATGAATAGTGTTGCTCCTTGATATTGTTAGTCCCAACATTCGTCTCGATTAGTAGAATATGCGGTGGTTAATTTTTTGACTGTGACCGGTATAACGTTAATGCTTTTGCCTCTATTTGGATGCCTTGTTGTTCCTTGCGTTTCACCTGTATGTCGTGAATATAGCCTTCGAACGTATATTGCAGCCCCCTTTGCCTACTTCTATCGGACACTTTATTTGCTGCTTTATAAAAGTTTGATAAAATGTCAGCAGGAAGAGCTGTCACAGCATAAGCCATGTTGATACCAGAGCCCAGATGAAGTTTGTTTGTCGGACGTAGCAACAGTAACTAAGGGGGGTGGGGCTTAGCCAAAGGAGAATTAGGGTACATGGTCCTTGAAGTATCCAGGTCCATCAGAAGATTAAAGGGTCACTTCACCCATTTGCATTAAGGTTTGTATTGTTAGAAACCCAGTCATATATTATAATGATGGTGGAATTTTGCTTGTTTTTTTTCTGAGATGGGAGAAAAAAGGATTTAAGTGTTTTACTTCCGTCCTATCGTGACGTAAATATCGTCATTTTGCGTCACGATAGGACGGAAGATAAATTTCATTGAAAAGTGTATAGACTACAAACACAAGCTCATCATTTATTCAGGGTGTGGGACTCACTCACGCTACAGACCTATTACAGATCAGTGGGTGGGACTTCACTTGCAGATACAGAAAGCAATATCAGCCATCTTGTTTGGAAGCTAAGCTAACAAGCGCTTTGGAGATAGGAAGTTATGACAATGACGGAAGAAACAAACATGATATGGAAGAAGAGGATTTTGAAATTCTGCTGCTCGAATCCGGTGTTCGTGGCTATCTTTACGAGCCGCAATATAGTGAAGAGCAGCTGAGGCTGATGGAGGAACAGGAGGCGGCTGCCTGTCGCGTACGAGGAGCCCGGACTGGCTCGCGCTGAGGCGGACTGAAGCGGACGAGGAGCCCGGACTGGCTCGCGCTGGGCGGACTGCTGGTGCGTGTGCTCTCGCTGTGCGCTACGGACACAGATAGAGTCCGTCTGCTGCAGAGAATTTCAACAAGGCAGTTTCTCCTGGACGAAATCTCTGGATCAGACGAGCACACGGACGTTTGTGTTGTGATGTGAACCATCGTAGTGTCGCACCGCATTTGTTCTGACTGAACATCCAGGTATCATGAAATAATTCACCATATAGAAAGAAATACAAACGAGGAGTAATTCGCTAATGAGTTTGCCAATGTAACGGGGTTCGTTGTTGTGGGAAGAATGAGACGGGAATCGGCGAACATTTAAACATTTTAATAGTAAAATAAACAAATACAAAACAAAAGTATAAGCGAGCAGCCCCTCACTGCTGGCCACACACAACAGAAACAAAACACAACATAAAATCAGGCCTGTTCCTCACTCGATCTGCCCTGTCGTCGCTCCTCGTTTTATGTGTCCGCTCCTCGGTGAGAGACGCTAGAGAGACAAGTGCGTCTCACAGGTGTCGTTCATTATCACTCGCGCCACCGGCCTCGCGCCGCTCTCACGTCCCTCGCCCTCGTCCTGCTCGCCACAGCCAACTAACTATACATTTTGTGTGAAATGAATTTCTAACTCTGGTGGCAGCTCACGTTAGCCTTGTAGACGAGTGATTTATCTGATGTTTGCGCTGTTCTTGAGTAGTGGGAGTGGCTTGCGGAGCTGTGCAATGTGGTGCATTGTGGGAGTTGTTGTCTTTCATACAAATGCGCCCTAAAGTTATTTTCTGTCTTTTCTCGGTCAAGAGGGCATCAAATTCAAAATTTCTTTTACATTTCGACTACATATATGACCCACTTTCAATAAAGATTAATGTTGAAATGGGTGAAATGCTCCTTTAAATTTAGAAGGTGTTTGTGACCTTTCTGAACCAAAAGCTTTCTGCTGGAGCAAACCCAGCATCCTGACTCTTCTAATACCCACTGTCCTTCCTTCTTTTCCTCCTCTACAGGATGAGAAGAATCAGATGATGACAACAAATGTCTGGCTAAAGCAGGTATGTTCAGCAGGAAAGTTAATATGAGGAACGGAGAATTTATTTATTTATTTTTCAAAATATCTGGCACCATAAATAAGAGCAAAGTCGGTTAATTAATAAAATGATTATAATAATAACAGCCTCAAATTGGCAAATAATGGTGGTAGACATTTTGTAATGAATTAGTTTTCATTTCTTAAATACTTTTGGCCTCTCTCTCAGGAGTGGAATGACTATAAACTACGCTGGAAGCCTTCAGACTATGACAATGTGACTTCTATCAGGGTTCCGTCTGAACTTATCTGGGTCCCGGATATAGTCTTGTACAACAAGTGAGTAACAATTTATCTAAGCTAAACAACACTCAACATGATTTCCCACAAGCTAGATGCAACGAAATCAAGCCAGAGTGTAAAAGGCTGTTTTAAATGCAGAGTCGGATGATCTATGAGCTGTAGCCAACTCTATGTAATACAATGCCGTTAGAGTTGCACTTAAACTGAAATGAACTCACACGTTGGTTTAGACTACCACCTGCTGTTTGAGTGTGTTAATGCAGAGGCAGTTCATACACTGTTTACTGCTGGATCATTATTAAAATATGGGAACAATTCTGTCCTGTCTGAAAAAGATTTCATTGTCAGGAAACTCCATGTGAAAGGGATATACATGACATAGCTTATAAAATAATATGAAAATAGTTTGACTATATAGTTTTGGAATTTATTTATTTATTTAAAGCATCATTAATGTGATATAAATAAAATAGAAAAAATAACCAAAATCTATAAAAATCCTATAATCAAAGTGTCTTACTGTAAAACTTATTAAAACATCAGCCATTGTTACTGTCAAAGCTGCAAGCATGCTGAAATACCTCTCGTCTCCTTCATCTGGTACACCACTTATGCATTTATATTACATCATAATTAATTAATTAAATAATATTGCTTGGGTTTATTTTATCAGTTAAAAGTCTAAAAAGTCCTATTACCAAACTGGGTATATTTAGTGTGCAAATAAAACATCACATCCATTGTAACAGTCATTGTATCTGCAAGCATAGTTTTAATTGCGTCAAAGCAAATTTAAAAACGTGCCAAATTAATCCTGCTGAATTGTAGATGCATGAAACCATTTTACCGCTTTTCCTGCAGTAAAGCGGCAACTGCTGAAATAGATGTTGTTGTCCTTTTCAGTGCAGACGGGGAGTTTGCAGTGACCCACATGACCAAAGCCCACCTCTTCCACACAGGTAAAGTGCGCTGGGTTCCACCTGCCATCTACAAGAGCTCATGCAGCATCGATGTCACCTTCTTCCCCTTTGACCAGCAGAACTGCAAGATGAAATTCGGCTCGTGGACTTACGACAAAGCCAAGATCGACCTGGAGCGCACCGAGAACACGGTGGACTTGAAAGATTACTGGGAGAGCGGCGAGTGGGCCATCATCAATGCTGTTGGCACCTACAACACCAAGAAGTATGACTGCTGCCATGAGATCTACCCAGACATTACCTACTTCTTCATCATTCGCCGTCTCCCGCTCTTCTACACCATCAACCTCATCATTCCCTGCCTGCTCATCTCCTGCCTAACTGTGCTGGTTTTCTACCTCCCGTCAGACTGCGGTGAGAAGATCACACTGTGTATCTCAGTCCTCCTCTCGCTCACTGTCTTCCTGCTGCTCATCACAGAAATCATCCCGTCCACCTCGCTCGTGATCCCGCTCATCGGCGAATATCTGCTCTTCACTATGATCTTCGTCACCCTGTCCATCGTTATCACCGTCTTCGTGCTTAACGTCCATCACCGCTCGCCCAGCACTCATAAGATGCCCCATTGGGTTCACTCGGTCTTCTTGGATTTGATCCCACGGTGGCTGTTTATGCGCAGACCTGCACCGGACAGCCGTCGCAGGCAGAAACTCCTCCTCCTGCAGCGGCAGGGCCAAGGAATGACGTCCCGGGTGCTTGGACCGGCAAACTCAACCCTCAGTACGTCTACTAGCTGGTTCAGAGGGGAGAACTCTGGGGAGGAGTCCCGCAGGCGCTACTGTTATAAGGACTTAGAACTGGGGACGCTCTCCTCCGCGATCTCACTGTCACTCCAAACTGCTTCGCCCTGCCCTCTTGGCTCAACTCCACCTACTCTACAGAATTTCGGTCCTTCCCCTAGACTGGAGATGGGCGTGGCTTCCAGGCAGCCCAGTGGAAGAGCTACTGTCACGAAGCGGCCTGACAACCTGATAGCAGACAAGCCAGGGTTTCCTCTGTCCCCCAGTGTCCTGCAAGCTCTGGAGGGGGTCCACTACATAGCAGACCACCTGAGAGCAGAAGACGCTGACTTTAGTGTAAGTTTCTTTCAGATTTGTGTTGGTGTAAGATTTTATTTTGGTTTTGAGAGAATTCTCTTACCAGGGCTGCATTCATTTGATCAAAAATACAGTTATATTGTGAAGTATTACTATTTCAAATAACTGTATAAAATAAATCTATTTTAATATTCCCAAATTTAATTTATTCCAATCCTGTGTTGTCAAAGCTGAATTTTCAGCATCATAATTAGGCCACTCCAGTTTTCAGCGTCACATGATCCTTCAGAGATCATTCTAATATGATGATTTGCTGCTCAATAAACATTTCATATTATTATCAATGTTGAAAACAGTTGTGCTGCCTAATATGTTTGTGGAAACTGTGATATATATTTACATCAGGGTAATATCTTGATATGATATATCAGGTATAATATAAAGTTAAAAATAACAGCATTTATTTGACAGAAATCTTTTGTAACATTATAAATCATGATGCATTTCACATATAAATAATCCTGCTCCTAAACTTTTGAACGGTAGTATATAAAATTGTAATTTAAATATTTTTCAATTAATTATGTTTTAATATTTATTTATAAAATAAATGACATTTTCCCATAGCTTTCATGCTACAGTAGATCTATATTTCACCGAGAAAGGATTAGTCAAGTCAACATCAAAGTTTGACTCCCAACTTTTATTTTCTAGTTGTGTTAATCCACTCATCATTTGTCTTATCTCTTCACACAGGTAAAAGAGGACTGGAAGTATGTTGCTATGGTAATAGACAGAATCTTCTTATGGATGTTCATCATAGTGTGTTTGCTGGGCACAATCGGGCTGTTTCTCCCGCCCTGGCTCGCAGGCATGATCTAGAAAACACTCCAGTGAGTACATATGAACAATAAGGACTTCTAACTTATGGGCTTCCACTGGAAGAACCAGCATGGGGACACAACGCCAATCCTAGCAGGGATATTTCCCCTGCATGTGGTAAGAAAATGCATGTTTGACATCAGGAATGTGGCACCAAACGCCTGATTTTTTTTAGGACAAAAATTAAGAGGAGGTAAGCTTGTATATGAAAAAGCTTGTATTTGAATGTAGCTACTGTATAACCTTTAATATTATTGTCCAAATTAAAAGTGCCAACTGGACAAGATACACAGTGACTTACTTCAATTACACAAATAAAATCACTGCGGTTGGTATTTCTCATATCTTGTTACTGCTCATATCAAGGAGTGCACACTAAAAAGATATAGACCGCTCTAGCGCTTAATAAACAGAACTGCATTAGTTTTGCGGAAGAACATTGTAGCAAGAGCTACTTCTCTCTGTTTATGTCTATGACGAGTCACACACGTACTGGGCTACTCCGCAGTGGTACGACCCGACCGATCTAAAATAATCCGAATATAAACACTTATTACAGGTGTACCGTGGTGATTTAGGATAATACAAAAACACGGTTTGGAAAATGGATTCATGATGTACACACTTATTATATAAATACAAAGAAAGTTACAGACTGCAGCTAAGTTCACCTAAAAGTGAAGTCAAATTAGTAATTTACTCACACTTGTCTTTACAAAACTCTATGCATGTCTTTGTTTGTTCAATGGAACATGAAGATATTTTCAGAACTGTTTCAGTGTTTGGCAACAGTTTTGTATTAAGCTATTTTGTGTTCTGGAGAAGAAAGAAAGTCATAAAGGTTTGGAATGATGTGGGTGGTTAAACGAATTCCTTTAAAGGGGCTGGCTATATGTAAGAATGTTCATGTATTAATTACTTTGTAGCCTATTGCCAACATGCGAACAGCTTGTATATGAAAAAAATATATTTATAATGCGAACAATTTGTAATGAAAATTTTTTTTTTTCGCGCCGCCCTATAGCCTTTCTTCCTTTCTATGACACATGAAACAAATGCTTATACAATGTCCAGGATAATGCAGAAAGAGCCATTCTGTACTGTAATGTCAATGTGTCATGCAAAGAAACGGTGTAATTTAAACTAGTCTCACATAGCCAGATCTATAGAGTCTATAGTCTCAAATAGGCCTACTGTATACTTTAGTCAAACAAACTATCACAACAGTTTAATTTGAATTACCTCATCTGTCGACATGATGCCAGTGAATTGCAGAGCTTGTGCAAACATATCTACGTCACTATGATCAGATGCTTTCTTAACTGCTGTTTTCTTACCGCTGTCATTTTTATTGAGTGTTTATTTTGTTATTGAGCGGAAAGCGTGCAGCACATTACATATCTGAACGTCGCTCTCAGCAGCGTGGACGGCATCGGGATCATCGTTAACAGTATATCGCTGCAAAGGTATTTCCAAGATCGGAAAAGAAATTTGCTGTGAGGGACCTCGAATCATGTTCAGTCTGTTAGTTAGAGCACAAGCAATAAGTTGCTGGCTGCAGTTCACTTAACGGCCACCAGTGTCACTAATAACAAGGGTTTCTGAATTCTACATCTAGCCCCTTTCATACAGATACACATACACATATAAAGGGTTATATTTGCACTTTTGATCTGTGGTATTTTAGGAAGACAACATTTACCAATAACAACATCCTTTAATGCTGTTTGCAAACATAAAAAGCATATTTGCTTGTATGTGATACTCTTATATAGCTTTGGTCTACAATACATAAAAATGTTATTAATAAGACAAGATGTCCAGAGGAATGTTGGGTCATGTAGAGGGTTCAGCAAGTTAGCTGTTATTACCAGTAGCCTGAATTTCTAGTGGATGTTTCATGTCCCATACTGGTGTTTGTGTTGCCCTGTTATTACATGAGAATTGAATCTTATGCAAACAGATGATTCAATCTGTCCTGCACTCAAGCTTTGGGTCGGCATGTCCAGAGCTGCTCCTCTAGTCAGTCTGTGAGTCTGCGTCCTCAGGTTTGGGTCTGGCCAGGTTCGAGCGCACCCGTGCCTGGTCTACAGAATCTAACAGGTTCTTGGCATCCATGGCCAAACCGTGGGCCGCTGTCAGCATCTGTTTCTTGCACTCTTCCTTCAGAGAGGTGATGGCGTTCTGCTGGGCCAGACGCATCTTGCTGATGAGCTCAGCCAAGTCCTTATTCAACAACTTCTGAGTGCCTTCGATCTGAGAGCAGAGATAAAGAAATGTTGAGTTTACCTTTGTGCTCTTAAAATCTAATCTGTATTGGAGAATATTAAACTCACTTTTAGCAACACTTAGTGTTTCACTTGAAAAACGCAAAAATGTATTTTTATACTTTATATTGTTAGTGTCATGAAATCAGGTCTGATACCTCTGTTCTACAGGAAACATGCAGAGTTGGTAGTATATCATCCACACTGTTGATCAGATTCCTTAATGAGAGTCCGACAGTCTGCGAATGAATTATATTCATTAATACACAGGCCTAAACATTTTTTTCACTGTATGAATTAAATGGAAACTGATTCTTATTAGATATACAGTAACATACACAATTCCTTCAGTCTAGAGCAGTGAGTAATTTTCTCTTTGTCTTTTGTTGTTTTAACACTAATGACACAGACGGCACAAGGTATATAAGGCTGTCAGTCAGTGTGAGTAACGCATCTAGTTCTTTTTTTCCCACAGCTTATTGCACTTAACTCTTTTTAACATCATGCACGTCCTGTTCTTTATTTTCTCATTCATGCACGTCTCTTTATCACTCTAATAAGTGGCAATAAATTTTAGTACTTAAGTAGAAATATCTCTTTATAGACACTTTAGATTGTCACTTTGATATATCCTCATACTGCCCAGGCCTAATCTCACTTTGACAGAAGAGATGTATTCAGTAGATGACAGTGTGTTAATGTCATTTTTCAGCTGCACCACCACTTTCACCACGTCCATGACACACTGGTACACATTATCCTCTGAGCGGTCCAGCTCTGCTGTAGGTGTAGGCTGAAAGACAGATGACAGACAGAAGACACATTAAACTGAATAATTGTTACTACCATTGTACTGGGAAAGTGGGGTCAATTATTTACACATTAAACATATACAACATGCATACTGTACATGAGTGTAAACAAATCTTTACTTGCACTGCAGTTCTGGGTGGTTTTGAAGGAGGATGATGCAGTTCAGCTTTAAGTGGAAACAGGAAACAGTCAGTATAGGAGGAAACAAGTTAATCTGGCACAAGAATTACATTAATTTTCTCATTAAATATAAATATGTGATATAATTTACAATAGATTGACATCCGTATCTTGACTTTTTACTTGAATGCAGAGGACTTACCATAACTAAGTGGGGGTTCAGGTGCCTGGTAATTATTAAAAAAATCATTATTGGGGTTGTCAAATTTTACACTCAGGTGACTTACACTTTTTTTACATAGTACATCAGATCTATGAACTGGAATGGAAATATAATTGACAAAACATGTGATATGGGTTTAAAAATTAAAGAGCATACACACCTCAGGAATATTTGTGCCCTCGTGAACCATTGGGTCCTTAGAAAGAACAGCAAGCATGCAATGTGTATTATAACAAATATTAAAAACAGACCTATATTACATAAGAGATTGGTAAAAAGGTTTTCCTCCTTACCAGTAGCTTCTCCTCCTTCTTTAACCATTTGGTGTCCTCCTCCATTTGCTCTTTCTGCATCTTCATAGTATCCTGCATGCGCTCCTTCTCCACCTGCCACAGCCTCTGGGCATCTTCCATACTGGATGGACCGAAGCTGAACTCGCCCTCCTACCCCGTACACAAACACAAGCCCATATAGCTTCTAATAAAAGTCTACAATTATTTTTATATTTTATTATTATATCATTTTTAAATTAAAAATAAAAAACAAATACAATAATGAAATTAAATGAAACTACATTTAAAATAGACATCATGGCTTAATTTTACCCCAAGACTGAGGCGACGGGGCGAGGCCTTGGGAACGGACAGGATGTTGGTTGAGTCCACAGGTGACTGGTAATCACACGGGCTGGCCAGGTCTGGTGAACTGGCACATAAAGCCTCATTAAGCTAGTGAAAATAAGAGCGGAATACGTTAAATTAATATAAAATTAAATAAATATAAAATATAATTATTTACAATTATTATTATGTAAAATATATATTAAATATTATAATAATACACAGTATATATATATATATATATATATATATTCAATTAAATATTCATTGATTCTATTTATACAACAATTCAGTACTTAAACTTAAAACTACACATTTCCTAAATATGACATTTAAACAAAAAGAACACACTACCTGGAGATGCAGGCCGACTCCAAGGGTATTTCCGAAGCGGCTAGTATTGACTCTGGAAGGCTGGAGGTGTAAACAAAATACACTGACTGTTAAGAGGAATGTGCTGCTGTAACTGAGTGTAAGGGCAAAAAAAAAGCCAATGAAAGCTGACAGCTACCTTTGGTGGAGGTTCACTAATGTTAAACTTGGGCTCCATGAACCGGGTGTTACGGGCTTTGTCTCTCTCTCTCTCCACCTCCGCCTCCTTCTCCATTTGGTGGACATCACTGTTAAAAAAAGAGTGCGTTAGTTACAATGAATGTAAACACAACGGAAAACATTTCAGTTAATGCAATGTTCTAAACCATTTGATATAATTTAGAGAGAAAAAAGCTAGATATTATATCAATAACAGTGATTATTATTGGGCAGAAACCTGATGTTGCAGGCTAGTTCAGTGAAGGTGGGTCTCTCGCGGGGGTCGTAGCTCCAGCAGCGGGTCATCAGTGAGTACAGGGCAGGAGGGCACTGTTCAGGTTTGGGCAGCCTGTTGCCCTGTTCCAGCTGGTTAATCACATCACGATTGTCAAGCCAGTGAAACGGCTGTTTACCTCGGTTCGTAATCTCCCACACGCACACAGCTGGACGGGAGCA